CACATTAGGATTTTATCATATCCATTTGTTTTTCATTTAGTTAGTGTATATTCTTCTTTTACCAGTGCTTAACGTTTTCCTCACTGTAACTTGTCGAAAGTGCTGAAATTTCAACCTATTGAGTGCATATAGCTTCACTTGACCTGACTTGACTTGATTGATTTCTTGCTTGATTTCTTTCTGACATCGGGTGGACGAGGAAAAGCTGAATGATAGTATCCTGTCCAATCGCACGCACGGACCCCAAGTAAAATGAACAACACTACGGGATTGAGTGACCTGTTCATGGGCCAGTTTGTTCGGAATAGACTGTGACAGAGCCTTCCTTCACACATTACGTGATGCTCGTTCGTCTGTTCAGTATCTTTTGCCGATAAAAGGAGTGTGTTGATACGAGTTTTCGACGTGTGTAGCGAAGCCCAGTTACGCGCTGGAGTTTGTGGATACGAGGAACTACATCCCAGGGAGCGGGGGGTTTTGTCACGGAAATCAGACAATACGATCAGTAGAATACGAGATTCTATCAGTTAGATGTGAATTGTGTGCATCCTTCTCATCCAGCCCCTCCCACACCCACCCCACCCTCTCATACCCGCAATGCCATTCCGGGGAAACGTTCGAGAACAAACACCATTTGTTATATGGTGCTGTTCACAAAGCAACTGGTTATTTCAGCTATGGGATAATAGCATTAGTTATTGTTTATTCACTGATATATTATTTTCATTTTTTCGTGTGAATTACCGTCATCTTTTCACTAGTCTAATGACTTTTACCACTCAAAGTTTTATTATTCAAACAGTTTTTTCCGTTCATCAAGTCAAGCAAAGTCAAGGAATCGCTTTATACGCCTCGAAAGGTGGATATTCACAAACCACGTAACAAATGTGATCACATTTGGTCCTTCCAACACGAAGTTTTCTGAGTCTCCTTCACAGAATTGAATATGTTATTGTCCCACGTCTTTTTATCAGCTACAATCAAGTTCAACCGCCGTCTTGCCTTGCTATGAACCTCTTTTTTGCTTATATCTCAACCGAAAAATGTTGTTTGGTTATGCAGTAAACTGAAAACTTCTGGAACTGAGTCATTGGATTTATGTGCCTCTCGGCTTCAATTACATGTCAGACAGTAATGAACAATTCATCCGGCTTGGGTATGGTGACATTACAAGATGGTAGTTCAACGAACCGCACACCTAAAGGTCAACTTTCGAAGGTCGATTTGTGTTATAACTCCAGAAAACGGTGCTGATCGCAAATAACCCACACATGGGACATCAGTAATTTGGAATACATAACACCAAAAAACCTAGTCAGAAACATACCATCGCAATTCCTGTACACAAAACGGGTAATGAGTGCAGCAATCTATAGTTATTCTTTAAGGTCCAGCAATTTATCCTCGGTGATTTTGTTGTTTTTCAATCGTTGAAATAAATCATTACTCACAAGTGAGTAGTATCTCACAACACTTCCCCCGGCGAAAATGAACTCTGAATGCAGCCGAAAAAAAGTTCTTTCCTCCAAGAGTTCGAACGGGTCCGTAGTTGGTTACCAATTTCTTGTGGCTTCGTGATTAATTTCTAGTGACCCGGCAAGTAGGTTGATTTCTGAAGACTCTTCGGCGTACGGCTGTGGTCCCAGCGTCACCGATCGTGTTCACTTTGATACGCACACCTGTCAGCATTTATCTCCAGAAGCATGTTCATTGGAGTCTTCCTAGTCCGTATTCTACATGAACTTTGGCATGTTGGGAGTAACTTCGCTGCTCTAGGATCAACAACACGGCCTTCAATATGGTGCTTATACGCTGCTTCCTGCACTTTCTAAATTGCACTTGGTTTCTGTTTCACTAGAATTCTTAACTGCATCATCAGCGCTTTTTTCTGCAGTCTGGCAGGTTTTGCTTGTCCGTCGTGTTTCAGAGAGAGAAAGTTCGATTTGCTCTGCCGTCAATTTGCGGCTCGTTTTCGCCAACTGTCTTTTCTGCCGTATTCGAGACTTTTAATGACTCAGTTNACTCAGTTGAATGAGGTTCCGCCTTATAAGCAGCAGCACATGGCAGCAGACAACGATGACAATTTCTCATCCCCCATCTCTATACGAGTCTGGACTGAACGGCTATTAGCCATTCTGGAGGGAGTCTTGTCCGGGGACATTGATTTGAACGAAATCAGCGGTTCTCTCAGGAACAACTTGGGCTGTATTTCGGGGCAATTTTTCGGCCAGGACTCTGGACCTTCGAGCTCAAAATCCCCAATCCTGAGAGCTCTCTAGTTGGAATCGGTTCGGATTGCTGCCACTGATAGTTTTTTGAGAGTCTCCGTACTTCCGGTAGGCTGGCGTTCAGGAGCCTCAGTTGACTGGGTAGGTGTGACTTTCTTCCGGGTGAATTCCCTCAGGATATCCTCCAGTTTGAATGAATCGATGGTTTTCTCGGCATTAACTATCCATGCCTTCTCCCGCAAGTCCTCTGAAAGGCTCTCCATGAAGCGGTCGAGCAATAAATTTGAACGCGCGACTTGATCCAACGTTGGGAGTGCACGATTCAACAGAGTGCGCAGAGCCACGGCAGGCGACAAGGGATCCACGCCAACTCCGAGCTCCGTAACGCCCGATGGAGGTCGACCGGGGTGACAAAACCCGCAATCAGGGCGTCCTTTGCAACGGCCCGCTCAATCTTCTCCGGGCCTTTTCTCGCCGCATACAACACCGCCCGCACTGGCCCTTGGGAAGCGCTCGGAGGGCCGTCAACTTACCCCGGTTCGACCGTATTCCCGCCAGCTTTGCGACTTCCTCGAACTCCTCTAGGAATTTCCGCGCGTCTCCATCCTCGAGGGCTTTAGGCCACAAAGCCTCCATTCTGGCAACGGTACCAATTGTTATAATTCCAGAAAACGGTACTGATCGAGGATATCCCTTTGTTGAGGATCACAGATGGGACATCAGTAATTTGGAATACATAACATAAAAATCTAGTCAGAAACATACCATCGCAGTTCCTGTACACACAACGGGTAATGAATGTAGCAATCTCTAATTATTGTATTCTATCTTTGACATCCAGCAATTTGCCCTCGGTGATCTTGTTGTGTTTTGATCGTTGAATTAAATCACTACTCACAAGTGAGTAGTATCTCACAACACTCGTATGTTTCTTGAATCATATTTTTAATTGCTTCAGGACTTAGATTAAGACACTAAGACACTGGTATTTTGTAGCCAAACAATTTATCGACTTATTGAAGCTAGAATATTTTCTTTGATCGGCTTATTTGTTGTGCACAGAATGAAAGGCATAAGCTATTTAGAATTCTTGTATTGACGTGAATAAAACACCGTAATGGAAAAGCAATCACTATCATGCTGCTTTGCACAAAATATTTTTTTTCAAATCTGCGCTATAACTCTTGAACTAGTGCAAATTTCATCGTGACACTCATAATCACGCAAATTCAAACGGTGATAGAATAAAACTAAGGACATATGTAAACGTGGGAGACAAAGTCTGGAATAAATACACTTCACCTATAGTATTTTATTGGAAATTGAAACGTATTTCCAAAATGAGAGTGATGTTTCATGAGTTTCGGCAAAAGCTCTCTCTCCACATATATTAAGAATGATCTTAGAAAAGTTTTGATTCTGCTTCAAGGATGGACATTTACGCGAATACGCGTGTTCCAGCCNTATTCTGTTTTGTGATCGTTGCGATTTGTGAACGATCAATTGTTCTCGTTCCATTTCAAATACTAAGCTGGGTAGAATAGGGAAACCATTTGTATATTTGTCACTCATTCAATGCGCTTTTACGATATCGAATCACATAATTTGATATATATTTATGCAATTTTTCCCAATTATGGCATAAACGAATTGCCGGCAGAACAATTCACATTTGTCTTCCTTATTGAAAGAACAAGATAATAAGTTCTTTAGGTCGGGCCAACTATTGAGCAGGGATGCAGGGAGACTGGAAGGGGTGGGGGTAGGGGTGGAGAAAGAAAATGACGAATCGTTCTTGATTATCGATGGAAGGTGGTCTGCCGGTCGGTTAAACTAGCAAATCACGTGACAACACGGGGGTTCAGTTCTGAGCGATGTTGAACGACTCGGAAGAAGTTTTGTCTAATTAGCAAATGATTGATTTTTAGCAAAACTGAAACAATTGTTATCATATTTGTGGCCGTGACGAATGAGCACCAAACTGTTCTGCAAGTAGTTGTTAAAGAATGCAGTGTACAAAGTAAGTTGATGGTTATGCTAGCATGTGTGATCTAGTCTCCTGGTTAGGGTTTTCATACCCACATGCCAGGTCTTCGTTTGACCACCCTTGACCTTTTTCCAACCGCTACCTGCCTCGGCAAATATCACTCGCCGTGGCAAGCTATCTGATGACAAGATTAGCACATGTCCAACCAATGTAATCTATAAAGGTCAACTATTTGCTCCAGCGGGTGACCATGGTTACCTAAAATTCTACGCCTGACCTCAACATTGCTGGTCCGGTTACCCCACCAGACTTGTGCAATGTCACATAGACAGTGATGTTGGAACATCGATAATCCATTTTATCCTGTTCCCGCAATTGCCACGTCACTCCGCCGTAAAGCAGCACTGGTCGAACTGCTGTAGAATATACTCAACCCTTTAGAGACAGCCGGTTGTCGCGACGAGTAGTAGTAACGAACCTCTGAACTGAAACAACCGGTTTTCAAATAGAAGGAGATACGCTTGTAAACGTTTCGTGCTCAGTTATGTTGGTGAGATTTGTACACATTATCAGTAGTTTGGCTCTGTTCGGTTTGTTCCGTGACAATTGAATTCATTCTCCCCGTTGTGCGAATGCATTTTTGGCATTGGAATAGGTCAATCAGTTGCAGTGTGTGTGTGTGTGTGTGGAGAAGGGCCTGATCTATTTTCCACGCATGATCGTTCGCTGATCAACCCAAAGGCCACATTAGCAATAATAAAGCAGTGACCATAATTGCATTGTTGTGTTGTGTGATCTGGTGATGCAGGCCGAGTAAGGAAGCCTTAGTCCAGATGGGAATCGCTCAGATATGATCTTTATCACGAACCCGACTGCAGAAATCTGTTGCACACCGATAAGGCTACCTGAATAGAGCATTCAATCGATCATTAAAGTTATAAAAATAAGAAATTTGATGCTAAAACGGCAATTGCATTGAGCGCATTTTGCTCTCACAACAAAAGAGGAAGATTGAAAGCGGGGTGGGGGGGGAGAATAGGCTAATACGTGATCAAGTACATCAGTCGCGGGTGCAGTTGGACGATCGTAGCCTGCGAAAACAGTGATGACATCATTCTGTCATTTCTGAAAAGTAATCGATAAACAGAATGAAAACTCACATGCAGATAGATATGTGTAACAGTTAGACAGCATTCACAAGTGAAATACTTTATTTTAATCTAAAATTATTTTCGGAGATGAGTATAAACTGATACAGAATCCGAATGCTATGCTGCGTCACCCCAATCAGATGAAACTAACTAAGGGACTACACGTTACAGTTTCCGGATAACGAATCAAAGACCAATCATGTCGAACAATCAGACGTCATGCGGTCCAGACAGAAGCTGTATGACGTCAAAAATGCAGGCAGGCCGTTGGTGGATACCTGTAAAAGCTACAAACTACTTTTGTACATGTTGTTTAATCCTATTGATTTGTTTCAATAAACGAACTAACATAAAGTTCTTTTTCTTGACACAAATGGGATTTCCATCGACTGATAGCAATTGCTTCTGCAAACCGTAGCAATCACAAATGGACTCAACAATTTGTATACAATGAGTACCGAAAACGTGATGTTGAACCCTTTATAAGAAATGAGTGTAGATTTGAATCTGGTTCAATGACACCATCATTTGTTCCTTATCAGACTTCAGTAAAAGTGTTTGTGGAAGTGTCCGGCATCGCCGTTCATGTTTAGATTGGTAACCCTAGTTCCAGTTAAACTGCTTTGGTACTGACAAATATAAATTGAGTTATTCAATATTTTATTCGCACTAGTAACACGCTCCGGCGTTAAAACGATCACGGGAATAGAAACATTGAGATGCGTATCTATTTGAATGTTAAAAGTTCCTAACCCAACGGAACCTGACCTGGAGGTTTCAACACATGTCGATACACACACACACAAAATGCATCAAATCACCGATAATCCCATGGCTGATTACAAGAAATCACCTAAAAAATGCCGAATTTCGATTTGTAAAACATCACGTTTCAGCCTTGACCGGACTGTCCTCAGAATTAAAAGCGCACTTGACTACGGCACATTTGTCATCCCATTCAATACTGATGACCAATCCGACGGATTCATCTAAATCAATTTTGAAATATTGTCTAAATATACTTAGGGAAGCGGGGGAGGGGGGCGAATTGATAGAGTAGTAGCTGCTGGCAAGTAGTAAATGTCTTCACAGCTAAATAATCCATCCTGCGATGCTACACTGTCCGATATATTCCGTGCACCAAGTCATACCTATTTAAAACGTGTTTTTTTTAAAGTTTTTGAACCATTATCGATCAGTTGGTTGGCTTTTAAATCTACATATATTTTCTCCGGAATTTGATTGCGGTTACCTTGATCTGTGTCTGCGGAATTCGCATGTCACTTTCAGTCCAGTCCGGAGACAGTTTCCTGATAATCATTTGGACAGAACCAATAGTTCCATTTCGCCGAACTTCCAAATTTGTTTGCAAACGTTTTATCACCAGTCGAGGTGAAATCATCAGGGCGTGTAAAGCAACCCAATAGCATGACTGAATTGTGGCTAGGGATTGATCAGGAGAAAACGTTTATTTTTGTCATTTTTACTTCCTTTTGTTGAATACATAATGATATAGTTTTCAGGAAGGGGGAGGCCACAAATCAACGAACACACTGAATGGGGAAAGTCGGTGGTGGTGTTGATGGGATTCGAATGCACTATTGTTTACAATCAGCGTCGAACGCAAAGGAATACTTAAATCTAGAGGTTTATACAGCAGAACGCTGGTGTTGGGGTTGAGTAAAAATTGGTGGTGCTTGGGCAAACACAGCCATGATAAAATCAGATGAACACATATTCCGTTTTATTTAGCGATAGATGCACATACAATCGATATTTTTGGATGCCAGCCACATCTTATACCCAGCGGCGATTTGGTTCATAATCATTCTTCATCTAGTTTCATATGTAGCAATGATATCAATAATCAAATACATATTCGGATGGATACGTTTAAGCCAATTGTTTTGGATATTGTCTTATTAATTCTGTGAATGTGTGTAAACCAAAGTATACTGCCATTTAGTATTCTCTTAAATAACCATCTCTTGTTCAATCAAAGAAACTATTGGTGACTTTCCTTCCTTTTTTCTTCCGGTCACTCGGAAGCACCGAGAACAGTTGCTGTGTTTCATTCGTTTCTCGCCTATTTTTAAGTTCGATTTGTGGCTGGCATTGCATTGTTGCATCACGTGACACGATCAGGATGATACCGGTTTCGGATGAAGTCACATTCGTTGGATTAGTTAATGATGACGCTTCCTGTTCTGTGCGACTGGCTTGTCGGACTGGTTGTTTATGTAGCACTCAATCTCGCCCACCCGCGTCCGATCCATGCTGGTATGTGTTCGACAACACGGATACGCGGCTACCCCTCAGCTGTTACCACGTGGGTAGGCACTCATATTGAAATTCGTAGATTATGTGCGATTTGGCAAACACAGAAAGGACGTGATTTTACCGAGGGCGTCGGAATCTGGATTGTTGTGAAGCGACCGAACGATTTAGCAGCAAAATTTGTGCGAGATAACCCTCCACCAGCCGTCTTCGTATGAGTC